ATGCGAAATCTTCAATTTACCACAATTGTCTCAGATTTGATATATGCAGGCCCAGGCACGTGTCCCATCGAGGCAATGCCAAACGGGCCCAAGGCGCCGCAGTCCTCACCCCACGGAACGCAGGGTGGCCCAGCCCCGTAGATCCAAACAGGTGGACAACGGTGTAGTAGAGGGCCTGAGCTCACGAGGCCCGTGAAAGGAGTGGGCAGCATTTAGTTCAGAAGAGCGCGCCATGAGTTTTGCCACTTGAGTTTTTGGGCCAGGAACACATCATGGACTTCAATGCAAAGAAAAGATGTGTCGTAATCGCTCGGTGCCCAGAAGTGGCAAACGTCCCTACCGTGCCATTGGATGAATGACAATCTTGCAATTTTTCTAATACATCAAAGATCTCACTTGCGCTTGAACTAAAATGGCAACAATCTGAAAGCGCTCACAAACCCGAAAGAGCATCATTCTATGCTACCTGACGCTGGCGGTGCTGCCAGGAAACAGCGCAGAAGCCTCGAACACAATCTTGGAACCCCCTGCTCTTCCACCAGAGGCAAGATCTGCACAACCGAGGCTTCTCCACCTTCCCCAACCACTCTTTCCTCGAGAAACTTCTTCCTCAGCGAAGTCTGGATGACTGCGTGGTCAATCTAAAACAATAGATCCACGTCAAGATGTTTGATGATGTTTGCGCCTACCCTTTGCTTTATTTGAATGTGTTTTTTATTCCGTAGTCGGGGCCGGGAAGTTTGAATAGGTGGTATGATTCGAGGGCATGATTCGGGGTATGATTCGGGGGTATGATTCGAGGGTCTGATTCGCAGCTTTTGAAATTGTACCGTTGGACTGGCTAGACTTCCAGCAGTGGGCCCACATCTGCACTCTGAGGCAGTAGGCAAGCAGTATCTGCTGGTTGCTGGGCAGACCAGGCGAGGAACTCTTCTACCAAAGACGATCGAAGACTGCAAACCCCACCAAAGGCACGACCCTTTTAACTGCAGTGGTGGGAACAATCGGGGATGTGGGATGGGCCAGGTGGGAAACTGTGCAGGGTGCGTGATTCGGGTATGAATCGGGCATGGATCGAGTGTGATTCGGTATGGCCATTAAATTCTGCAAAAAGGCTATAACTTAGTCGTGTTCTCACCATGCTTTTTTGCACCATTAAATCACGGACATCTACAAGGCACAAAGACCAGCCAAAGCTTCACCTGAAACCCTGGTTCTTACACCAACTTTTTGACGGGTATGATTCGGGGGTATGATTCGGTGGTATGATTCGAGGTATGATTCGGGGGTATGAATCGCTCAAGAACTTCCAACCATTACATCAACACGTTCACGCAAAAAAAAAAAAACAAACCCATTTAAGGCAAAATGGTTAGCGCTGCTTTTTGCATATCGAACTTGATCTGCTAGCTCCCCAATGCATGCCCCAGAGGAACACAAACGCAGCCAAGATACTGTTTAGGCTTCAGTCTGAAGCTGTTGCCACCAACATTCGCACCGCAGAAGGCGCAAGTACGCCCCATCACTGCTTTGCTAGTGGTGTTTGTCTTCTTGTGGTGCTCATGGTGCTTGTGTTCTTGTGGTGCTTGCGGCACCTGTGATGAAAAGCATATATGAAAGCCCATTTTGGCCTGGGCTTTGATGCAGTGTTAGGGTGTATCTGATAGGTCTTGCGGGGGGGAGCGAGGTGTTGTCATAGAATAGAAACAGTTGACATTGTAACATTGAAATAGAGATGGTGTAGCCTTGTCACTATATGAGTTTAGCTTCGCATTGGCAGCACCAGCTCATGTGGGGCAAGTCCGTATAAAACACCATCACTGCTCTTGACCCTCTTGTTGAAGTGCGCCGCTCAAAATGACAAAGAAGCCTGGCCTGGTTTGCACTCTGTTGTGAATGAACACCATGCGTTTGTGTCAGCATGCAGGCGGTGTGATTGTGCTGTGTTGGTCCAAGTTAGAGAAAGGCTGTGGCTTTGACTAGCATTCCAGTCGATGCTCTTACTTCAAAGAACTGGACGTTGCTGAACAACGGACGGATACAAACAAGATTGAAAAGAAATGTGCTCCTGCGCCTGTTCACATGTCAGAGCAATGTGACATTGTGTATTTGTATGTATTATTTATTGAATCTCTGTACTAGTCACTTGAGGAGAACATGATGAAAAAAGTGACTTTCTAAACCTTGGAAATGTATTCTTTAGTGAAACCTGCTGGAGGGTCTTGGTATATATGATATAGGAATATATAGGATAATAACGAACCGTTTATCTGATCATCCGACTCTCTCAAGTTCAATTCGGATGATGCTCTCTCAGGATATGCTCTCTCTCAGGGCGGAGGAGTCGACTGAGAGAGAATTCCGGTCTGGTGGCGGCAGCCACCCAAATCCTCCTAGATACATCGCACAGGGAAGCGGGGGGTGCCTGTCATTGGCTCAATTGCTATGCAGCATCACGCAGTGCAAAAGCTGAAGAACACTCTTCGATCTGCTCCTGACCAGGGCACAAGATGTAGTCGTCCTGTTGCTTTTCCAGAAAGCGCGCCACGGAACAATGCTTTCGAAAGAAGAAGTCCCTGAATTTGGCACAGCTTCGGTACTCCTCAGTCGCCACGTCGCGTCACTCGAGCGTCGAACGCCAGCACTCTCAACGGCCCTCCAAGGGCGAACAGGGCGGCCAGGGGAATGTGCTCCTGCTCCTTCGAAGGCCCTGAGGGCTTTTACTTGAAGGCCCTGAGGTAGATCCTAGCATCCACCGGAGAATTGGTTAAAAACTGGTTTGGAAATGGGTGGTTTTTTAGGGTGGTCGTGGTTCGGTTCTGACCCACAGCCATTACAAGACATGGCTGTATCACACATCGCAACTCAGCCAGTGGTGGGAATTTGGGTGAGGACACTACTTCTGCACTGCACATACGCCCCCGCATCCGTAAGTCATCTGGATACATATCAAAATATGGGCCAATCGATTCAAAGGCCGGTGTTGCAACTCAAAAGAAAATAACTTTCTATAAGGATCGCTTTGCTATGTCTTTGTTTTCTTCAGGATCACTTCTAGGAGCACTTTCGTGCCAAAACTCTGGAGCCCCCTATATCTTTCACACGATGGAGCGCCAGCTGCTTCACAGGCCACTGTATCAAGCCCATCGAGCCCCTCGAGCCGGATGGGGTTCGGCCAAGCGGCCACTGGATCGATCACTTCAAAGTGATAACCTCAAAGCACTCCGACCGCACCGATGATTCTCACTCCGACAAGTTTAAACATCCGTTTTTGTGGTGGCGAGTGGCGAGTGGAGAGTGGTTTCACTCTCCCAACACCACCTGGTTTGTATGAGGAAGGGCATTTCCACTTCCATGTGATGTGCTCGTCAGAGTGCACGTGCACTACTATCATGAACTGAAGTAGGGAACACGGCCCCGCGGCCGCCAGCTGCTTCTCCCAAGTTGTAAGTCTCTACTGTAACCACGACAGACGAAACACCAAGTGCAGCTTCCAAAGACCGTGGCGCTTCGCATAGCACCGCTGGCTGGCGATGGAAATGCCAAACTTGGACTGATGTTTCTTGTCCTTGGACAACTCGTCTTGGTCCGAATACGCCCGTCGTTTCCACGAGTTCTTCGGGTGCAGGGCATGGTTCCATCCGTTTGAGGGGCAAGTTGGCAGCATGGGCACCACCATTTTGGGACAAGGAAGTTGGAGGCCCTCAACAAACACAGCATCAACATCGCTGTACCTCTTCAACTCTTCACACTCACCTACTCCAAACGCACAAAAAATGAACAGCTCTAAATCGTCTAAGTCTATGCCTATGCCACAACAAACATCGACAAAACCATTTCAGAAACCAAATCACTCCCTCGCAGGGAAAACCAATGACAGCAGCAGAAGTTTCTGCTCCTAGTCTGAACTGGCAAAAAAAGAGCCCTTTGGGATCAATTGGAGTGGGGAAGAACTCATCCAGATCTCCTCACAGCTCACACCAGGGCTCTGCGACGGTGGCAAGACCTCGAAGCCAAAATGGACTGGTTGACTGGTCGAGCAAAGGGGCTCGAGCTGCAACTTTCCGATGGTAGATTGGACGGCAATGAGTGGACACTGCTGCAAGCAGTGTGGAGCTAATTGTTTCACCGTTGGACACTGATGGTGCATGCAAACTCTCACACTCTCATATACACCCCCTAGATAGCTTACTTTGCTCGCGGAAACCAACTTCAGCCTCCGGTATCGCCTATTGGCTGGCTTTCACAAAAATGTGAAAACATCCGAGAGGTGGCATCAAGCCTGATGGAATGATCAGCTTCAGCGGGCGTACAGCATCTAGTATTGATGTCGAACCGCACAGTCTAGAATGAGGACTGACAACACCGGCCCCTGGCCACAAATAAAGACATATATACAAACTGAACATGAAACCACGCACACCTTCTACTTGCGTCCAGTGCACAAAGATGCGATGAAAACAGCGTTTACAATATCAACTCGTCAAAAGGCTGGGCCTCCCCACTTGATTCCCCGCACCCACGTGTGGGAAGGGCACCCCCCAAGGCCACTCTCACGCCAAGTCGCCTATCTGCGAGTAGTGACCCGCGCCCGGTGGCGCATGGCTCAACTGCACCTGGCGGTAGGGAGGCCTCCAAGCCAATGGCCTCCACCCTAGGAACGCGCTGGCCAACCTAAATTGGCAAGCCGAATCTCAAGCAGAACTTTTGCTCAGCGTGGTCCATCCAATTTGGAACCTGCATGCGCCGTCTTAGCGCGTGCGTAATTAACTTCTATTCACCGGGCATGTGTGTAGACTGAAGAGCCTGCCCCTTGAGCCTTGTGCTCACTCCACGATTCGGATGAAAAGAAGCACTTAAATTGACATCATTATATATCTTGGTTTGTTTATACAATATCGTGTATATGTGTGCGTGTGCCTGCCTGCCCTGTGTATGCCTGCCGGCACAGCCCCATTGAAAGGCTTGGAGGGCTGATGCCGTGCATTCTCTGGGCCCGTTCAGGAGAAGCAGGCTCCAAGTACCCTGTCGGAGTGTGGCAGTTCCACCATGCAGTGGCCATCGCTGGCATCAAAGATCTTGGCCACTGAGTGGTAATAGGACACCAGGACACGGCCTTAGTACATCCGAAACTGGCACAAAACCGCGAGTCACTTCAAGTGACCTTTAGCTAAACAATCAGTGTGGGGGTGATTGGTGTTAAGAATCTTGCAGGTTGTGGTGTTGGTCACAGGTTGCCACTGTCTATTAGCAGGGCATCAGCGAGCTCAAAGCGATGGTACTGCTCAAACTTACGTACCAGCTGGTCAATGCCTGTTTGGACTTGAGAGAGGAGGGGGTGAACGAAAGGTAGCAAGCAATCACAAGTAACCCTGGTAGAAGTCCACGACGGCGTGAACCGGCGCAGGGGATCGCAGGGGGGATTTGATCCAGGGGGGGGGGCCCCCGCCCCGACGAACAGAATCAACTCTTACAGGACCAAATTCAATGCACAATCCCAACTCCTGATTGTAATACATTTTTGCTAAAGCAAGGAGAACTCAGGTAGCTCAAGCTACCTTTCGTGATCTGTTTCCACTTCCACTCCCCAACCTCTTCAACGTGGGGAAAAACCCATGATCATCCGTCAGCTACAAAGTTCGAGTGCTCAGAACTTTGGAATCCATGAGCCAGGCCGAGCCTGGTCAAGCCTGAGCTGAACCTGGACCCGGTTTTGGTCTCTCCTGCTATGCAGACACGGAGCATCACAGTACGCACCGTACCGGGCAAGGGTAGAGAAAGCACCGCTTTCACTGGAAAAATGGAAGGCATTGGTGAGAACAAAGAAATGTGTTGGGACTATGACCCTGCAATGTGGCCGTTTATGGCTTGCTATCTTTGTAAGGGGTGAGGAAGCGACCGGCAGCATGCCGAGGTGCTACCATCTGGAGAGAAGGCAGCGGAGGTGATGTGGTGCTTCCCTCCTCTGCATTCCTGGGCGGGTCGCTGGTTCAATCACCATTCAACTTAGATCTCCAAACGTCTGTACCATATGTACCATGCTCTTTCAAGAGACTTGGAGTCGGGGTGTCGGGACCACCGGCGTGGTGTCGGGTACGCTTTTTGTCGCGGTTCAGTCGACCACCGGGCGTGATTAGTCTCATGAGTCTCTCTGGACTCGAAAGCTGTGAGTCTCTGAGTCTCTTCCATTGAAGGTGCCCGCAGAGGCACCTTCCCCAAAACGCCACACTCTCCAAACCCACATGGGGCTCCCGGTCTGTGACTCCCCCCATGGACCCAGACGGACCATGGGACCCGGACGGTGGACGACGGGTGGGACATGGGTTTTATAGAAGAAGTTCCTGATTTCAGTGGCCCCCCATGTGCACAAGAGCTCCACTGAACCGCCACGCCCAGCCACACAAATGGCCTCGCCAGTCTCTGCATCCAGGATCTTCACATCACAGGTGTCCAGGGCGAGCAAGATGCGGCCTGGTGTGGTCGCCCACAGGTCCGGAGCGCCAGCAGAAGCAGAAGCTGCATGATCCAAATGCTGGATGAATCTGTGGGGGTCTGGTTGCAGAACATGCTTATCCCATGCCTCAGGGCCAATTATAGCTACAGTATCAATTGTGGAGATATGAGTTATAAGTAACATCTGGTGCAGCGAAGTGCCACTTACTTGCTGCATTCCACATGGTGTCCTGCTGCAAGCCTCCTGAACATCCAAACAGCCAGTCTTTAACAGGCTCCTCTATGGTTTGCCCACTTGGCCCGTTCATGACAATGCTACCCACCAGCATGGTTTGAGAATGTTCTTGAAGTACAGTAGGAGTGATCTTTGCTTCCGGGTGGCACCAAGCCAGAGCCTCAAAGAGCGGAGAAAACATGAGACAAAGTAAGCTAAGTAAGCGCCTCCATCGCTGGAGAAGGCCACCGGATAGGGAGAGATGTAGAAGCCCAAAGCGCTCAGGCTTCTTGAAGCCACGAACTGACCTTCCTCCTTGTGATAGAGGCGACCAGTACAATCAGTCAGCACCAACCTTACCCGAGTGAGGGCAGCTGAGCCATGCGGCTGGCAGCATGAGCGAGAACAGTCTGTTGGGTTCCTAACGCCCAGCCAACGGTCCAACCGTTCAAAAAAACCCTTAAGCACCGCGCCACTGAGCAGCCCCAGAACCTCCTCGAATCGCGGACCGCTCCGCTCCGCCCTACTAGCCCCCCCCTCCGCCTCCCTCCCGCCACACGGGGCCGCGACGACCAGCTCCGGGCGCGACCAGCTCGCCGGTCCCCTCCACCGCGTCCGAGCCGCAACAGGCTCCGCTCCGTGGGCGCGAGCACCGCGTCCGCCACCGGCGCGGTCGCGCGCAAGGTCTGGGTGACGCGGCCGGTCGCCGCGTCGAAGAGCCGCGCGGTGCCGTCGCGGAGGGTGGTCAGCACGGTCCTGAAAGTGGAAGCTGTCAAGGACTTGGGGAGAACAAAGGGTTCAGCTACTTCCGATTCAACAAAGGGTTCAGCATTGGAATTCAGAGGGTTCAGAAGAGAAGCCTAAATTGGGACAGTTCAAAAAGAGAAGTTCGAAGGAGAGTCAAGGTCTTCTGCTACATCTTGAACATCGGCCCAATGGGGCGATGGATTAAGTCGCCATCTTTCCAATAGGGTAGGTAAGTGTCTCTGCCATTGGCTCCATATCACATACAGCGGGGTCAGTACCCATAAGGTGGTTCGATGGATCCCGGAACCCACCATGTACCAGGACGTCTTGATGTCTGTGCCATCTACTCTGAAACCACTGAGAGGAAAAAACATGTACGCAGTCTGATGCTCCAGCAGGGGCGGGGCGGTCATCATTTCAAGAGGCATCGTGCTTGGGTGGAAATGTTCAGTCGAACCCAACGAATGAAACTATAGAGGGTTAGTTGGATACAATGTATGCTTTAGACAGTTGCAGGGTCAACAAGTAAGCAGAATCAATTCTTGAACCTTGAGCCAAGCCGAGCTTGTTTTGGATTGTTTTGGGTTGTCTGGCTTGGGCTGTTGTGTACGCAATCATTGTGACAAGGATGGCTGGCCAACAAATAGACAACAAACCACATGTCCTTGGGGAGTCACAGCGCGTACTGAACCCAAAGACTATGAAACACGAGGGTCCCAAGAAAAAACTATAGTTGCTACATGGCTGCTCCAACAAGAGAACAAAGAAGTGTCCAAAGCAAAGCCTGATCGAACTTGATTTCTCTCAGAGGCTTCCCAGACGGAAAGAATTGCGCGCAGCCGTTCCTGGGCGCTGTGGCGGCTGGTTTTCTTGCAGCATGATTTAGCGGTACTCCATCAAATCTGCTGGTCAAAGGTGTGCTGTTTTGATCAAGGTCTGTAAAAACGAATCAGCAAAGGGGGGCCTCCCTATAACTCCTTCCTGTTGAGTTCTGTGGGCCTCTTTGCTCCCTTTCACTCGTGATTTTATTCCATTGTTGATTGAGTGGGCAGAGGCAGTGCCGTGAGGGAGTGCCCAGAGGGAGTGCCGTGAGCACTGTTCAGATCGCGGGCCGTGGACAGGTTGGGTCACACACGGAGACGGGCCGTGTCTCAGCTAGCATGCACACATGTGCACATGGTATGATATGGTCATACCAAAAAAACTCATCCTTTGGCCCTCCCTCCCTCTCCCCCAAAAAGGATCAGCAACGGTTCTTATTACTGGACCCATTAAGGAAGTTCTCTGGCCCAGTAGCTACGAAGGCGAGTAGCTAGCTCCTGGCATCGCTACGAACGTAACGAGGGCATCGCTACGAACGGAGCTCCTGACATTCACTACGAACAAGAGTCGCTACTAGTGGCAAGGCTACGAAGCGCAGCAAGGACGCTAATGTCGACTCCTGATTCATCAACCCTTCCATCTGAATTGGACGTCCTCTTCAGTATCGGGGTTACCCTGGTCCTCAAGTCTTCTACCTTCGTAGACTCCTGGAGCCGTTTCTTCAGACACCGAGCGCTCCGATCCTTGATCGATCCCACACACCCCTCGTGCCACGGACTCGACCGGTCCCTAAAGCCGCCAAGGAGCCACTTGCCCACCTGGGAGCCGTCCCGAGCCGAGCCGAGTGGTCGAGCCGTGGGTCGGCTCGTGGTCGGCTTGCTCGGCTCGGCTTGCTCGGCTCCAATGGAATGGAATCAATGAGATCCATGGCTGAGATATGATGAGATGGTGTTTTGGGATCTTTTGTTGGGGGAGGTGCCATGTTAGGTGTCAACTTCATCCCGAAATTTCAGCGCCTCGTCCATCTGCACCAGCTGTTGTCCGGTCTCCGCCACGAATAGGGCGGCGAAGCCATCCTGACAAAGAAAAGGCCTGTTGTGGCAAACCTGACGCTTGGTCATCTTCATCTGCCAAAATGGTGCCGATAAAAAAAAAAAAGTTTTCATCTGCAAAGCCAGCGAACTTTGCATAGTTGCAAGATGGTATAATGGATTCATGTGCCGGGACCCTGCATGAAACATGATCGGGGACCCGAACTTGAACTAAACACATCGAACGGATGGGTTCAGGTGTCAGGGGAGACATGTCTGCGGCATTCTGCCTTCTAGAACTTCATCGAACGTCAAAACCTTTACAACTGGAGACATGAGCCACTCGAATCGAAGTCCCTTTTCCTCACTAGGTGGTACCCTGTGGTAACCAGTACCATAGTAGCACCAAAGGAACATGGCAGCTGAAAGAAAACACTCAGGCAAAACCACCAGAAAAAGCTGAAGAACATCAGTCGGAGCTGGAGCTTCCTGTGCTCCTGCTCGCCCGACCAGCTACCCCCAGCCCGCCCGCACTGACGCTCGGTGCGGCTCATCCTGAGAGATTTTCAGCAGCTCAGTGCCATCAGGGGAGAAAATGCATTTCCGCGCGGGAGCCGTGGACGCGGCAAAGCCGCTGCAAAGGCTCACATGTTCACCGGTCCTGACGGAAATCGACCGGTCCAGGGTGGAAGAAAACATGAGCATGATGACCAGGAATGGGTAATAAAAAAATGCGGAAACATCCAGGAAATCAAATTGTTTTATTGGGACGTCATCCATTTACCTATAAGTACAGGATCTCATCTGTGAGATTGTGCGTCTGCCCAGAAAACCGATGACCATGTCAGGTGGGTCGGTGGACAGGTGGGACAAACATGCCTCAAACAATCACTCAGTGTTCATCTATTTCCCTTTCTTCAAGATAGGTCTGTTGGTGCCAAAAATGGTTAACCATGTATCCCCCATCGAATTCGACCTCGAACCCGGGCTGTCCTATTCTTTAGGAACCCAGGCTGGCAGGTAGTCAGAGGTAACTAAAAAATCACAAACCTTGGAGCCACAAAACCTACAGAATCAATGGAAAACATGCTTCTTTAAAGAATAGACACTGACCTTCAAAAAAAAACAAAAACCTAAAGAATCAGTACACCCGGGCTCGAGTCGAATTGGCCATTTGAGATGTATCTTCAAGCACGCTCCTCTTTTCTCTGTCCATCGGCTGCCCAAGTGTCTTTAAAGATGTTGATCCATAGTTCTTCTCTATAAATCAGGGTCCACCTACCCACCTGTAAAGAATTTCAACCCCCACCTTCACAGTGGTCCTTTCCACCCTGCTTTTCATACTGATTTCATTCTTTAAGACAACCCGGGTTGTCCTATTCTTTAGAGGAAATTCGCACAGGGATAACCATGTTAACCTTAATCCAAGCAGTTCTCATCCGCAACAGCCAGTAGCCAAGCGGCAGTTTCGGACCTTTACAAGAGATATAACATACAACCATCGCAACCATGTTTCATGTGATAGTATATCACAGAATATCAGCCATAGTGAGAATTGCAAATGTATATAAGCGGTCCTTCAGGATAGCTTTGGGAATTTTGGGATTTCTTCAAATTAGTAGTTCGACATCAATGTGCTTCGCAGCATTGTTGTAGTTTTTCGCCATTTGTGCATGTGAGAAATGGCCGACTCGCAGTCTTAGCCATCTCTTTTCCAGCACGAAACACACGGCTCCTGCGCACAAAAAACACGGACAACATCCGCCCCACCTTGCCCGGAAGATCTGCGCTGCTCCGCTGCGCCCCGCCGCGGGCAGCGCCACCAGGCCGTGCAACGAGAAGGCGGCGATGGGCGCTTGGCGCGGTGCGGCTGGCAGTGCGGAGAGCGATGAGGATGGGAGAGGCTGACTGGGGGGAGCACACTGAGTTGTATAGTATATATATATATATACAGTACACCAATGATGGAAATATGCCTGGACCAAATGCAAAGATCTGTTGGTTCATGCTGGGTTGATTATCGGTTGATTCATGTTGATTTACACTGTGTCTGTTGATTGATCCGTTTCCGTTTCGATCATATGATGGTGTGCGGGTCTTGGTTCTCTTCATGTTGCTTCACCTGAACCGAACTCGGAACCGGTCAACCCGACCGGATCGGCTAGGTCTTGGAATTTCACAGATCACTCGGTCCGCAGACCGGTGAGAAACCGCGAGAAACCGGCGGTTTCAGGCTTCCAGGGTGGTCGCTCCGACGAATCTTTTGGTTCTGAATATATGGACCCCCCTAGACTTAGAGATAGAGAAGTACATCCGTAACCGAAATTCTAAAAAGTCTGGGAAACCATATGAAGCCGCCCCCTCCGAATTCGCAGACTTTGGATGCAGCCCATCGTGACTTCTTCCGAGAGGGGCCCCAAGGGGGGGTGGATTTCGCTCCTGCCTGAGAAGCTGCAGAGCTCCAGACCAGTGTCTGTCTCATAGACCATGCACCGCCCATCTGCTTTCAGGGCCATGAAGAGGCCACCATCCGCCGAAAAAAAGGGCACCGACCAACTGCCTAGGCAGCGTCCCCAAAACAGAAGAAGGGCCAGCTTGCCTTCCCTGTCTAAAACCCCTTAGATGCGACGTGATGCGATGTTCGTAGGCTGGCCTACAAGCCCATGCTAGCCGCTAGCCCCCAACCTTGGAATCAGAAAACTCTGTGCAAGTCTACGCACTTAGCACTCAGAACAGCACGGAATCTGTACCAAAGACCAGCCCCAACCCCTTCTCTCAAGATTCTTCGCGCGCCAGGTCTTGCCAAAAAAACAAAAAAAACACCTCTCGAGACCAAACGAAAGCAGCTGCCTCCGCGACCACGGTGCCTGATGGGTCCAATCTGGTGGATCTCTTCGCCGCTGTAGTCGAAGATGGTGACCCTCTCACCGGAGCTGGTCAACACTTTCCTCGCCGACCGGAGCAGAAGACACCCGACAGGTTCGTTCGTGGGTTCCCCGCACGGCCGGGCCGGGGGGGTGTGAACTCCGGCGTACGCGTTCGTTCGTGGTTGCGTGGCTGGAACGGAAGGCGGGCCCACCTCCATTCTCCTGAAATGAAAGTCGATGTGTCTCAAATGTTCAAAGAAGACCCTTGTAAGCCGGTGGGCTGGCTCCACAGAGCGGCCAAGCCTTCGGAACGAATTTGCTGCCTGGGGGGGGATGCGAAGATGAGGCTTCTCCAATGCCCGAGCTGTTTCCCAGAACTCCAGGCCCCTCAAAAGGGCCAAATGTCCGCAAAACTCCAGGGATCTTCCACTCCCCAAAACCACCGGTGCCTGAATATGGGATGGATGAGCCTTGGGGTTCCCATCTCCGTGCCCAGTTCTTCCCAGTCGCGGATGCGGGCGCCAGACCGCAAAGACTTCCAGGTCTCCCGAGTCAATGACGCCACTGTCCGGGAGCAAGCGTCCCTGAAAGACCTGAGCAAACATTCCATGGAGAGGCATCAGTTTTCCTTCATCTTCCATGTCGAGTTTGCATTCTGAGAACCAAGTGCCTGGCCCAAGGAGCCTTGGAGTCTTGTTTCGAAAGCATCTTCTTCTTCTTCGTGGAAGACGCTGTGGTTTCCACGCTTCTTCCGCTTCCAAGGCGTTTTGTTCGGGTTGAGGTTGACCGCTACATGGACAAATTGATTGTAGCCCTTTCTTGTTCAAGGGTAGGGTGCCTTGAAGTTGTTGGAGGGGTCAGCTCTCTGACAAACTGAAGGCTATTGAAGGTCAAATTGAGCTAAAAACTACAGTATCAGGAAAATCTATGACATGTCAGACTCTTTCACTGGCATTGGGGCTATTGGAGCTCTTTGGAGTTAGCCTTTCCAAAACGCGCACCCAGCACAACCAGGCACAAGAAGGTTACAGTTGTTGTTGTAGCAGTATAGCATGCGCGTCAATTAATAATAGGACAACCTATCCCCCAAGAATGTTTTTAACGGGTAAAGCATGCTGAAAATACTCTAGCTAGGGACTGCTGTCAACGTTTAACGCATGTTGAAGGTTCTCCATCTAGTGGACTCTGTCTACAGATGAGCTCCACGCAAAGAAGAAAACACCGGCGACCCCAGATAGCAACTAACTCTCTAAGCGGAAGCACACCTTTTCCTCCTAGCCCAGCGAAACGAGGAGGAGTATCGTCCGATCATTCACGACAAGTGGGGAGACAAGTGTCTGCAGCGGCAGTGGTGGGCCAAGAATGCAAATCAGCCACCCAGTCATTGAGAAGCAAGAACCCCCATAAACTTTCAGCTATCTGAAGAAAAACGCCACGTTTGAAAAGCCCAAGGGGCTAGGTCAAAGGCTTCCCATCGGCTCTCACCGCGCATGCGCCTCACCTCCGTCCGAAGCTCGTGCCCCTTTTTCGGCGACGCTGCGGAACACGGCAGGGCCGCCACGGTGGCACCATCCAGGGAGAGCACCCGAAGCATGGCGCCAACGATCGCGAGGCGTGGCGGGTTGAGCTGCCAGCTGAGCACGAACGCGGGGGTGCAGTAGCAAGTTGGAAGGTGAAGGACCCATGGGTCGGCGATGGTCGAGGTGGGCACACGGTGAAAATGAATGACCCAATGATACGAGCGACGGTCAAAAAATGTGTTGTGGAGTTGCAGGTCATCAGGATTTGGTGAGTGTATTCTCAGTGTTCATGTCTGTAATGTTATTGTTTTTAGTGAGTGTGTTATCGTTTATGAGCGACACACGAATTTTTAGATCCCATGACCACCATTGGTCACTTTCACTAACTAACTGAGCCTCGCTCCATATCTAAGCCCTGGGAGTCCAAAATAATGTTTAAAAAGTTCCTTAGGTGATCCGAAAAGGACTTTCCTTTCACTTGGTTGGTGCCAAATACGAGTCTTGGTGGTTGATGAATGGTGGTTTTTCTAGGTCACAGGAACCCAACGATACCCAACGAGTCGTCTGGAATGGCCGGTATGTCACGGCCAGGATCTCAGACCATCTCGTCTGATTCTCAAGCATTTGAGCCATGGCCCACGGAAAGCACTTGACTTTCCGGCCCGCGAAACAGGACTGGCTGGCGAGAAAGCACGGAAGGAGGGAATGGATCCGAAGGTCGCCGAAGGCATCTATATATATATATATACAGTGCATATATATATATATATAGATCTACATATGGTTTATAACGGGGCATGGTTCCCTTCTCTACGAAGCACCGGCAGCGACCAGAACAAACAACGAGATCCAAGGACCCCCCCCCACCTTCGACGTACAGGCTGGGCACGGCTTAGCCGGCTTGGCCTGGCAGGAGCTGTTCCTCGGACCATCTCGGGAAGTGTTCCACAAAGGGTGCCACTGAGGCATACAAAGAATCATGTTGATTTTCTGTCTGGCTGTGCTTTAAAGGTGATGTGTAGGACAAGATCCTAGCTTTTCATCAGCTTCAAACTTGGCCCGAGTGAGGCCGCCTGGTCACCCTCTTTATGGGTGCTCGGCCACTCGAGCTGTGCCGTGCGAGCTGTGGCGTGGCGTGGTCACGGCGCGAGATGCGTGACATTCCTACCCTCTGTCAACCAGTCTTGTAAAAATCGATTGAACCAGTGGTTTGTCGCAGGCCCTCCAACAACACGCCCTTTTCTTGAGCTGGATCTTCAGGACATGTGCCACACGCCCTCCCCCCACGCACGCCCTCCGCACCTGCGCCGAAGCACGTCTCAAAGCAGCCGCCTCCGCCTGCGCCTCTTGCAGGGCACGGCGCTCGCGCCTGAGCGACGCCCAGCGGCTAGGGCGGGGACGGTCTCTCTCTGACCGACCTGACCCTCGTGGAGCTGGAAATCGGAGCAGAAGACATGTTAGACCTGATGTCCACCTCGAAGTTGGAGTGGGGGAGCCCAACCCATCCCAATCCCCATATATAATATAAAGGTTATATAAAGGTTGTCCACTGACTGGGTAGGCTGAGGGTTTAATTGCAAAAAATGTGGCTTTTGGGGGCATGAAGACCCCAAAATCCCAAAAAGGTTTCTACATTGCCAGCGGAGAATAGGAGCATCCGTATGCGACATGCAGCGATCAAACCAAGATATCCTCCATGCTCCTCCTCTTGGAAGTCAACCAAAAAAGGAACTGCCAAAACTCCCTGAGGTTGTGCAGATTCAACCAGGTCACCACTGTCATGGTGTTTGTTCAACCTCATCTGGCCGTGGGTCAATACCTGGGAACCCTAGTTGACCCTGAAATTGGTCGGGGAAGTGCCATGATTCACAGCCATCGAATCACACCACAAGCGGCAGGCTCGGCTCATCTCACTGGGGGCACTGGCCCCAGGTTGCTTCGAAGCTCTTGGATCAGCGCCACCTGTTGAGAATCGCCCAGTAGCCTCAGAGTCACCAGCATGCCGCATGCCGCGTTTTTTGGGGGGGAGGGTGTCAACTGTTAGACATTCACCACCAGTATTCAAGTCCAAGTGAACCATTAACCTAGAAGTCGTGGGCGATGTTTGCGACACATGCACCATCATGTGCAGAAACTTGTCTCCGCTCGATTCTGCTCGTCGGCTCCAAGCCAAGCAGCTGGCGGCGTCCATTCACAAGAACTACACTACACTATACCTTCTCTACCGGTCAACTGGGACTCCACTGGCGTCCGTCTGTTCAAACCTTCCAACACCTCGGCCACCCCGCTGGGAGAAGGATCTCCAAAAAAGGCCCGCTACCAAGGCACTGATCACCTCGGTCAGAAGCAAAAGGAATGACATCGACATAGGGGGAGAGAGCTACCGGAGAGCCCGCAGAAAAAGAACTCAATTGATCTCAATTGAGATTCTTTAAATTACTTGGGGATCGTATTGCTCTCAAAGCTGCTTAGAGCACTCTTGGGGCATCGGCTGGCTTGCACTTCGCCTGGCTAGGTAGCCCTGAGGTGCCCGACTAAGAGCATGCAAATCCCATGCTGCACCAAGCCGCGGCAGGCCATGATTCATGGCTTTGGGCACCGGCCCGTGTCGTCTTGGAAACGGGTGGTTCGACCGGTCAAGCCGCCGTTCCTGAGACGACGCTACCCCGCTCGAGCAGTGGCGCTCGGCGTCCTGGAGCTCAGTCTGCCTAAAAGATCCACTCTTTATAGAGCTGGGTGGGGTGTCCAAGCAGCCTGAAAAATGCGAGCATCGAGTGCCACAGTCTTTGTTGAGCCGAAAAAAAACTGGTGTATGTCGGTCGGAACACCTGGAGGCTCCCTGGCATGCAGGATGTTCAGATGCAACTGATCATACAGTACAAGATTCGGCTACGGCACTTGCTTGCATTGGGATTCCTGCCAGCTGATTCATCCCTCCCACATCTGACTGACTCTTCTATGAAGGTGTGAACTCCTAGCTGAATAGCTTGATTATTCAGTTGGCTTGCGGCCGAAATGGCTGAGATGTGTTGAGTGTTGAGGCTTGAACATGAGTAGTTTTCCGCTGGTTGATTCCAGTATATAACTGCAAGAGCAAGTGCTAGCTGTTGACAAAAAACACGATCTACTCCCCCAAACGAACACATACAACTGTACTTTTTCCAAAACGTGCCGAATCCATGCAAATCCCACCGGCTTTGGAATCCTCCGAACAACTACCAAGACCATCCTGTCGGGGTGTCCTGGCTGGACTACCCCACACTACCTATAGGCTTCCAGACAGGGCACCCCTTGGATGGTCCAGGTACTTGACTTGGAAAAAGTGGCACGTGGCATCTCTACCCAACCTCCCAGTCCGAGGCACGTGTCCGCCATGCTGCGGATGGGTTCCAAGGTATTCTGCCAGGCAACGTGCGTGGAACCACATAGATCGAACATGGGCGGGGAAGGGACCAAAAGAGACGCAAAACCAGGTTCGCGTCACGCACGTCGCAGCGGGCCGCTACAAGAAGCTCAAGGTTACGAAGTGGGGCTCCTGGCCTTACTACTCGGGGCGGTTTTTGTTCCTACGAACGTCGCAAAGGGCATCCACGGGTCCTTGTTGCGTCGCGCCGCGTGAGAAAAAGCGCCGACGGTATCGGAGGGATCTGTGGGACCGGAATCGACGGGTGGCCGGCGAAGCGGCGAAGCCGTGCATCGAGGGGAACGGATTTTCCCATTCAGGATCAGAAGGGCAGATCTTCTGAACAGATCTCCTTCTTCCATCTTCTTCCCACCGTTCAGGATCATGAAATGGACCTTCCCTGAAAGGATCATGGAAGTGGCAGATCGGGAAGAAGGACCTCTGGGCCCTGGCCCGAAGTATCGAAGACCAAATAGGGAATTGTCACTGGGATGGTCCACTTCCAGTGGTTTTCAGGGAGGATACATGGCGGGCCAGCGCCAACCAGTCATTCCATGTAATTCCCACTGTCTCCCGTGTGCGCAACGTGCGTGTCTGGAAACGCCCGTGATCCGATGGATCCTGGGACCTGAGCTATACTACCTGCGCTGCGACCTGAGACCATGGAGCTAATGGACTACTGCATGCTCGGACCAGAGCGTCTCTCTCGGTTTTCCGAAAAAATGCCGCTGCCTCGATGAGTTGCTTCACGATGTGCATGTAGAGCCGCTCGAACTGTGTGTAGCTCTTGTCGAAGGTGGTGATCTGCCCAGAAGAGTCACGAGGGGAAGCCCCGTATACGGGAGGGGCTGCTCCCACTAGGGTGGAAGGGTCCTGCAGGGGGGAGGACTTCTGCAGAACCAGTTCGAGAGCCTCATTTTGGGGTTGGATGTTTGGGGCATCATCCCTCAGAGACCGGCCAAAACCAAGCCAGCTCATCACTTGTAGGATCTTGTAGGGTGGATTTCCTGTTGTGAGGTAGGGAACCATGAATGACCTAAGTAATCTAAGTGACTTCTAAGTGGGACCCTGAGACCCTGGAGCCATAGGAAAAATGCCCTCTGCAGCGCCCCCCCTACGCCGTGGGAGGGGGATGCTCGACGCAGCAGGTTGGCCCGGTGTCCTTGTGGATGGGCCCTCGGTCCAGGGGGGGCCCCCCTGCACCGATGAAAGAACCTCACCACGAAAGACCGCTGAGTTCATAAACTGTGCAACAGTAGGGGGGGGACTTGCAGTACATTGCGAGTAATTTGAATGACTTGATATTCAATCCACGACTGCAAAAGGCTGAAAATGCTTGGCTTAATAAAGGGAAGTAGAGGGATTGGTCAACTGTTTTGTAATCAGACTGGTTGTTCGGTAAGCTCGCTCGACTGTTTTTCGGAATCTGGTCACCCAACTCCAATCTTGGCCATCACTTCCACTAAATCCCCCCCAACCACTCAAAACGAAGCGTCGAAAAGCATCGACACTCAGCTGTACCTGAAAGAGACCAGAAGGTCCCATGGGTGGAAGACCCAGACTCCAAGAAACTCATACGACCCAGACTAAACCAGACTCAACTAGTATGCAGAATGCCACTTTGCTCACCCAACAACTTCGGACTTACCAACCTACACCACCCAGTTGGGGTGCCCAGTCTACCAACAGTCTAAGGGGGTAGTGGTATATCCCCCGCATCTTCCCAACGCCTTCCTTTTGTTTACTCGACCTCACTGCCGTCTCGAGTTTCTTCGGGCATCGCGGGGGGGGCTGCCCGCAGATCAGCACCATGCGCTGTTAGTGTGAGTCGACCAGCGTCAAATCGGCACTTGCCCAACTCGCACGCCCTGAACATCTCAGAAGTGAACGGCTGGCACATGCTGGCACCAGCGTCAAGTCGCCGCAACCCAAATTCACCCCCCCCGTTGTTGGCAGAAAAGAAACACCATCCGCTCCTTCAGTGCTTGATCTGTTTCGGGATCTGGGCCTCTCACACTGACAACACAGGCAGCCGATTTCAGCCAATTGCACTCTCTGTGGAAACATGGACCCCCAAGGAGACACAGGCAGCTTGAAATCTTGGCAGGGCTTGCATTTTGAGTGGACGATTCCCATGAGAAGACACGGAAAAGAACATATCCTTATTCCTAAAAGTCACTCTTGAGAAGATCAGCTTAGCCCACACCCTATCTACAGCCGATCCTCAAAGGGGCCTTCATCTTTGAACGAGCGCCGTGCCCCCATGCCGCCATGCGAGCACATGGACTGCTGCACACACAGGCTCAGGTGGATCCTTCCCCGTCGAGATAGGGGCCGCGTGGCGGCCGCTTCAGGACGGGTCTGAGAGAAACTTCCGGGGGTCACTGCATACTACACTACATAGGAACAATTGCAATTGATCCTCCCATGCCATCTTACATCTTATGCCACATGCGCTCAACCTCCGCCCGCAAAGGGCAGACCCGTCCTTTACGTTCCTTCAGCTCGAGCTCAAACGGCTCGTCTGACGTTCGGCCCACCCAAAAAGGCGCCGAACTACGCCGCTGCGGTGCTATGCCCCGCTGCTACGCCTTGGGTCGTTCCATCTGCGAGCGCCCGGTCGCCGGATGAGCAAAGAAGTAGACGCCTTTCTTCGACCGAGACTCTCGAACCTCACATGCCGGGGCAGGTCGGTCCGATCGGGGGGGGGCGGCGGAAGAGAGTTTCGGGGAGGCGGAGGATCGGCGTTGGAGACATCCCAAAAAGGAGCTTGGAAGAGGAGGGGTCGCCGGCTTCAGGAGAGGGGTTCTCCCTAGTTGTTGATTGCCCTTGATGCCGGCCCAAACACGGAATCCGTGCATGAAGCCGTTCCTTGTACGTCATGTACATCTGCAAGAATGTGGCTAACTCGGTTTTCGTGGGGAGGTCAGTAAGTCTGAGCAAGCGAACTCAGCGAACACATGAAATGCAAGTTATTGACCGAAATAAATGGAAAAGTAAATCACCACTTTAAACATGTATTGGAAACCAGTTCTATCTATTTGGGGATCACTAACAAACATGCTAGCCGCTTGAGACAAATCAACCCATTGGGTCGTGGTCACTGCCCATGGTTTTCCATGTCCATGCTTGTCAAGCAATGCTGGTCCGCATTCTAGGCAAACCACGTCGTGACAAACAATGCGACACACGTTCATCACCAGAGTCTCTGCAGGAGCTTGTGCTCGAAAGAAACGTGTGCTTTTGACAGCACTTGACAGGCTCAAGCCGGGAAAGGTTATGAACCATGCTGGCTCCAGGTTCTGAGTTAAAACTTGGATAAGTTTGACAACCATTCACGCACATGCACACTAGCTCCGCATCTGCTTGGCATTCCACCATTCCAAGCACAATCACCGGTGTCAATGATTGAATATGAGCATGTTGGTTGCCATCAGGTGGCTCGACTCTGACATGGATTGTTGCTAAACATGACAACATGTACAATGATGTACATGTATAAACGTCTTCTGTGAGGTCGAACTTTTGGCCGACCTCCAGCACCAAACGGACCTCCGTTTCTCCTCCCCATCGCCGTCGGCTGCGGTCGTGCCGTCTCGCCATGGTCATGGGTGTCAACGAGCTACGTGTGAGAGCTACCAGTGGCTTTGGGCGCTGAGAAGCACCGGAACCATCTCAAAGGGATTCGTTCTTCAGGCACTTGGCCATTCAGGTGGCGGTGAACTAACTAGCTGACAGTCCTCAAGTTACATGGCGCTCACACGACGCAAAAGAAGAAGGATTCGTATGCCGCCCGTCCCCCACCCGCAACCAAGCTTCTTCCGTCGCCACCCCACCACTGTCCTTTTCTCGTCTCGACCTACCTCATCCCACGCGACCCGCCTTTCCCGCCGACCGCTGGCGGGAAAATTCGCCCCAAACGTGCCAGCTGTGGGGCTTCCCAGCCAGCTGGTAGACCAGCCTGAAGTTCTTTGAGTTTCGGGTCCAGTAAGACACCTGAGCACGGCTCAGCCACGTTTGGTGCGCCGGACTGGGGTTCCCCGGCGGGGCGTTTGGTTGGGGCATGGTGGCAAGGGAGAAATAGAAGCGGCTGGAATTGGGGCATATCCCATAACCAGGGCCCACTGATCATGATGGTTGGTAAGGCCTGTCTCAAAATACCGACCCTGAGGGGTTCATTACTGGCTCTAGCTCGAACCGACCCCAAAACACAACGGACTTTGCTGTATTGCAAGGCCAAGTGGAATTGATATGAATTGATCATCTATACCAACACACCACGGTGTGGTTCATGGACACCATTGGACAACCGCGAGTCACCTCTTTTCGGGGCTATCACATGCTATCTCTCGCTCGCTCTGCCATGTCTGGCGGACCGTCGGCATCTCAGACGGCTTCAGCAAGCTTTCTTGGATAAGTAAGCATCACAAGAAAAGAAGTTCGTTTCCTGTTGTTGCACGCGGCCGTTCTAGCATTATTAAAGTTACCATGCAATCCATATTCTCAAATACAGTAATATTGGAGTCCAAACGAAAGTCTGGTTAGAACAGAAGGACGGAGCATCATCATCATGCTGGTATAGAAGGAGTGTTCTCGCATTTCTCTTCGATCCAATCCTTGAGGATTCGATCGGTTGACGGGGCCGACCAACTCCCCGGGAAGCATCGCCTCTCACCTAGGGGCACTGGTCGAAGGAGGGGTCACGTCGACCGCACGGGAGGACGGCGGTTCTCCTGCGTTGTTACCGGGCCTGGCTTCGGCGCCGCAGGCTTGGCCGGCCGCTTTGGGGGGCCGTTTTTCCAGGCCGCCGAAGCCTGAGTCCGGTGGTGGGTGTGAGACAGTTGATTCATACAACCCCCTGAGACATGCAGTGTACAAGTTAATGGTTGCGAATCTGAGCCTGCCCATGCCTGCCCCCATTTGATCCGCCGATCAGATCCAAACGAATCCAAAGCTACGTTTCTTTGATCTATCAGGGCCTTTTGGCATAATCTATAGAACGCGGCTCGGCCTTTTGGCATCTGAGGCCCATGCGTCCCGTGAAACGCACGCCGCAACTCTGGCATCCCACGCGATGCGACGCAATCATCCGACCGCGGACCGCGGAGCGAAACGGCACGGGTGCGGCCTCGCGCACGGACATGCCCTCGAAATAGACGCTCAGGAATGGCCCAATGGGGACCTAGCAGGGCTCGATCTGGGGAAGATGCATGCAACGAACTCTCTTGATGAGGAATTTTCTTTCAAGGAGTGGAGCAGTTTTTTGGAGCATTCCAGCATGACGGGTCGGAAGAAGTGGCTGAGTGTCACTGGAAACCCTGTGAGAGCCTGGCCTTGGCAGGGCTCATGGTGTCATCTTCCGGATCCAGGAAGAAGCCGCTAATCACCTGAGACCGCCCAGCCAAGAATAAGAACTCCAACCGTGCCAAAACCCAAGGTTGGGGTGGAAGGGCGACTAAAGATACTAAAGCAACATTTCTCTAGCAAGTGCTAGGCTGATGCGGACAGCCCCCCTGGCTTCCTCCAAACCCTCCAAACCCTCCAAACCACTAGCCAGTTGGAAAAATTAGACTGCTGATTGGTAAAAAAGAAACATTTGTATTGAAAAACCTCTGTGTGTGGTTTTTTTTTATAAATCAACAGTCATCAACAGTCTACATTAATCACTAGTTGGGGGTTCATTTGGGTGGAGGAGCTGCAGCGAGTGGTCAGGTTACGTGGGGAACCGCCGAGAAGACCCAGCTCTGCGGCCGTTGAATCATGCGAAGAATTTGGGGGGGTCAATCATGTGAAGATGGGCAATCCCTTATGTCGGTCAGTGAAGATTTCATGGGACTTGACCGCCTGTTTTTGAGCATTCAAGGAAGATGGCCATAAGTGGAGCAAAGGCTGGCAGAGGGTACAACACCCACAATGTAGAAAACTGTGGGTCCGTGGTCGCGCGTTGGCCTGTCCAAAGCCATGCATGGACACCGTGTCAAGGGGCCAACTGCTCATTCACAACCTTCACCACTGCATGGACACGCGGATGGATGGGGTCACCGTCCTCAGGGTTCAAGGCACAAAAGTTGGACTGCAGCGCAGCTCTGGACCAACTGGAACAGACTGGAATTGGACGATGGGCGATGATCTTAAGGTGTTATAGACTATATATACAATCGACTTGAAAGGTCCACCATGATTGAGACCCTAGGTCGCCTAATATTCCCTGTATATAAATGTATATATATATATACCGTAATATATTATATATATAGATATGTATGTATACACACATATATATATATACACACACAGATACAGTATAGATCTATATTATCTGTATAATGATTTATATACTGTTTGCGATAATTGACGTTGCATGGCACGCATGTCCACACACGGGGACCCACTTCAAGTCTCAAGACACATGGATCGTCGATGTGGATCGTGCCAAGTGGTCTCTCGCGGCTACCGGACGGCTGTCAGCTACCCCTCAAAAAGCAACACCCACCCTTGGAAGGGGGGTTGTGGAGAGGGATTGGAATCATGATGTTCCTTCCAGCGGATGATTTTCCTCCAGTAGGGACCCCTATTTATGCCCCCTTAGAGGTGAAGGTTAGGGGGGTGTCCACCCCGTGTGGGTCCTGGCAGAAGGTGATTGACTTTCCTCCAGAGGTGTCACCAAGGTGCCACTGTGGGTGTCGCATTTTGCTCGGTAAATCTCTGCGGGGGGGGTCCGAAGCGATGCTTTGTGGGGCCAGCGTTCGGCCGTGCCAGTCGCGTTTCGCGTCTTTTTTCGCGTGTCTCGTGTGTCGCGAGCCTTGCGCGACCACTTCGCCAAGAGACCTTGTCCGTGGTTGGGAGGTTTGCGCCCTCATGCTCATCTCCCAAGTAGTAGTGTCCAGATGGGCCTTTCCGTGAGATCCACCTCGTGCGAGCGGGATGCCCGGCACCAGCAGGGTGCAGAAAGGGTGCCGAGGGGTCTTGCCACGAATCATGAATCACAAAGGTATGCAAAACCCAAACCCTCCAGAGACCTTGGAAAACCAGAATCCTGCTCTTTGTGGTCACAACCATTCTCTGGTAAAAACAGGTGTTGCTTTTGGTTTCGAATTTCCAGGCGACATCACCGGGCAACATGCCACTGGCTGCCACCTTTCGATCTAGAACGTCTAGAACGTCTTACCCAAATGAAAGTGCCTGCTTGATGTTGAAACATCATGTAGGATCTTGATTATACAGTCAACTGCCATGTAACAGGTGGTTCAATCCAATTATTGGGCAATCAAGAGTCTATATTGTTCTTTCTGTGGTCTCTTTGATCTATATATATATATAGTTATCGAAGACAACTAAACCACCTGCTCTTTTATCCTCTTCATTACCACCATCATCCTCTTCTTGGTCACTGTTCGGTTCGATAATCGATACCGTAGATGCTGATAACCTTCCGGTTGAGACACCAATTCTCAACTCTTCGATGTTCCACATTTCTCCGGATATGTCTTCTTCTACACGTCCTTCATTTTCATTCCCCGCTTTTCCGGTTACAACCCCCCTCCCGGTGGTGCATGGTGGTGCCACAGACGTCCGAGTCACAGTCCTTCATAGCGACTCCCCCGAAGCTCGCGCGCCATCAAAGAGCAGATCAAGGGGCCTCGACGAGTTCTTCGGAGTTCTTCGGAGCGGCCGAGGCTGGTGTTTTCTCGCGCATGCGGCGCTATGAATTCCTGGAACCAGCTATGGACAGCTTCACATGCCCCTCCTTCGCCTTCCTGGCGCAGGCCCCACCCACTCCCAGTTCGTGGAACGGCGTTGAACCCGGAAAGCCTGCAACGGATCTGCGTACCGCGCCGACCGAGCGGCCTTCCTCTTCGGGCCGCCCTTTGTCCAGGACCTCCGCCACCAAGGACACCGGCACGCCGCTGCTCAGGCTCGAGGCCCGCTCCAGCAACGCCACAGCCTGTACGGTGGAGCGACCAAGCGAAGCTCCACAAGAGCATCCGCCGGTGACAGCACCCAAGTTTGGTGGTCGATATGGACCCCTGTATAATTACAATGAATATATATATATATAGCATCTCCACTAAATCATTTGGACGGGTGGAAGCGGCAGCAGGCGACAGGTAGACATGTGAAGCAACCGACATGTCGATAGGGTGGCCGTGAGGGAACCTCGGCCACGTCGGGTGGACTGGGGGCCTGAACTGCTTGGTACCCGGACGAAGGGGCGGGTGCCACGACCAGGCGACTCGGTGACTGGATCGGATCGCCTTCGCCCCCCCCACCGATCCGGTGCTGGTCGGGCCAGATTCGGAGCTCCGAACTGCTCCACTGGGCCGGAACTGGTTGGTGTGTCCCTTGATCGGTCCAGGGCGACTGCACCGTCGTTCGTGCGCACGCCATCGATTCGCACGGCACCAGCTGTTTGCAAAGCTTGGCTCTGGCCGCAGGGCCGTGCTGATTGCTACCCCTCCTTAGAGGAGGCGTCTCGGTTTTGGTCTCGGTCGTCGTGGTCAGTTTTGGGTGTGTGGGGTGCCCTGGTAGGGGGCCTCTTCCGCAGCCACGTTGGAGGTGAATCAACAGCTATACTGGCCTAAATCAGTTAAATGGTGATTGGGTTGATCTGGAAGAGCTTGGTGCAGACCCCCCTCCAACACCAAAAATCATTGGTGTGACTCCTCTAGGCATTATCTCTTCCTAAACTCAACATGTCTTGGAACTCGTTCTGTTCGTTATTTTCTGAAAACCTCGGTCACTGCAGCCAAGCACGATGGGTGCCGTCCCACCAAAAACCGTAAGGAACTTGAAACGTCTGTCAGCACATGTTGGGTCTCCATTCTGGCACTTCTTCTCAGAAGACCAACCAAGAAAACGGAACCACATGGAAAGCAACAAACGATCAAAACAAGAGACGAACGAACCAATGTCTTTCGAAACGCCGGACATGTGGCGAACTGGCCCAAGCTGGTCGAGTGGAGAAGCTTTCGGCACATGGGAACGGCGAAACTGGACCCCGCCAGGGCAACGGACAGGTCGCCAGCAAAAGATGAACGAGACACCTGTGTGAATAGAGAATGTCAAATGCTCTCCCCATTCATACAAAGAGATCCATCCAGGCATCAGGTGGATTGCTTCGATGATTTCAGTAACTCTATCAGCCCTACGCAGCCCGGGCAGCCCTCCCGCTGCGATGTGCCCGCGGCCCGGCACGACCTGTGTTAGGACCCAGCGGCAGCCCGCGCGAGAACCATTCTCGCGCCGCATCTTTGGCGGCTGGGAGGCTCAGGCTGGCCTGGAAGAGGCCGGTTTTCGCGCGGGCGTCGGGCTGGTCGGCGGTCTGGGCTGGGCGGAAGGGTGGAGTGTTGTGCTAGGTAGAAAAGGGGATGGTTTGTACATGAAACGGTGGGGAGGAAGGGGGGGGTGGCGTTTGACACCACATGAAACCTAGTAGTCTGGTTCATGCCAGGTAAAGGTTGGAAGAAGATGAAAGAGGGAGATGGATTGAAATCACACAGCACGCAACTTCAACTTGTGATCCATGATCCATGGGCACATGCCCCCTCGGCGCCATAGACATCTCAAGGCTCTCACCTTCTGCTTCCACCTGTCCTTGCTTGCTGTTCCGATTGTCCGTTGCATCAACCACATCGCCCGCATGCGCCCGATCGCCGAATGCCTTCCTTTTTGTGCGAGAAGGCAGCTCAAGAGATGTGAGAAGAACATCTATGTCAAACATGAGTCATCAGATCTGCTACTTTTTGAAGCCACCCATGGGCCACCCTGCTCACATCTCTCACACATCGTGCTGCTCCAGTAGAGGTGGAACCCCTCTGATGCACTGAGAGCTTAAAGGCGCAAGAGCAAGTGCTCCCCCTGCTTGGTGGAGAAGACTTCTGACAGCCTTGGACATAATGAATGAGGGGATCAGGGGGCCTCATCTCCAGTGGATGAAACCGAAGTGGTTCAAAGCACCCATTTGCCACATGGTCATTTGCACTGATTGATCGGTACAAGAGAATCAGTCTTTCGACCATGCCTGCTGCAGCACATCTAGACTGCAAAGTGTCGCTTTAACAATCAGGATGAACCGACGTGTGCATATGAAGCGTGAGTATCCAATTGTTTCCGCTGTATTATACACATGTGACATGCATTCATCAGTAGGTCAATTTTTATATGTGGGGGGCTTTTGATGGATCTTCATGGGTCTTCTCAATCCTCCTCTCTTTCCAATCTCTCCCAACAAAAACAGACTGCCTCCACCTCGGCTCCCACAGGTGGTCGCCCTTGTCTGTCAGCCGACATCAGCCCCGCGCCCCCGCGCGCCGACGACCGACCTCCGTCGTGCCAGGCCACTCGCCCGGCTTCAAGGCGAAAGCCGCCGCCTCGAAGCTTTTGTTCATCATGCCCCGCTCGAAGGGATCCAGCAGGCCCCCCTTCTTCGCGGATTTGCAGTCGGACTGCTCTCGAGCCAGCTCCTGAGGGAGCTAGGACAGCTGGGTTCTTCGCGGGGTTTCTGGGGAGGATCTTTGGGAGGCTTTGGAATCTGTTGTTCATCATCAAGCTGCGCAAGTTCCAAGAGGGGTGCCATATCTTGAGGATGCTTGGGCTGCCTCTGATCGCTTGTTTTTGACCTACTATTGTAAACCGGCTACTTCAGTTTATTGTTTATTGGGGGGGACCGCCGTGTAGAGTTCCTTCTTCATCACACCATAACTGCCCCCGCCCTGGTGCCGCATCTTCCTCGAACTTGCTGCGCCTCTCTGCACCACTGACTTTCAGCAAACTCTGCCTGAGATTGGCGATCTGGCCATCAACGGTCCCTCCTTGAAAGGCGGTCCCTCCTTGAAAGGCGGTCCCTCCTTGAAAGGTTCCTTTCTGAGTCACACCCCCTCTTCAGTGGTAAATGAAGTGCTGCGTGGTTGGGTCCTCCATAGGAAGACGATGGAAATCTGGCACCTCCCCAGAGCTGGTCAAGGATTGATTCGAATTGATGTGGTTGTTGCTCAAAACTCTGACTTGGAAACAACTTGAACTTGCTGCCCATGAACCTCAGAGCCAACTGACTGAGCCTTCAAAGACCACTTGAAGTGATGATTCCACATGGGCCGCTACCAGAAAAACTATACCGTTGAAACCACTCCAAGGACCCTCTTCTGCTCTGGCAGGGGCTATCCATGTTGGTGCCAAACACTAGCAGAGCCTCAGTCCTTTGAACAAGCCTGAAGATATGGACGACCTGTACCAATCAATCATTCGGGTTCTCTACGTGAAGGGTGATGGTAAAAGCAAAGCAAACCTCCTGCGATCCCACCATGTGGAAGAGATGCCGAAAGCCCTGAAGCATGCCAGCTGCTTCTTCTCGGCTACAGGAGATGACCTCTTGTCTCCAGCTGCTGGCCTGCAGATTGCACATGATTGCACACGTGGCACGTGGGCACGACGTTAAGCTTCACAACTCAAATCTGTTTCAACCGTGTGTGCACGCAATTAAATACTCCAAGGCTTGCAAGGGGGTGTCTTCCCTTTTGCACCACCACGGCTGACCAGCCCTCCGTTGGCCGTGGAAAATCGGCTGTGGAGCGGTGCATCGCAGCGAGACGTGCTGAAGCATGCCATGGTATCACAGTGTGATCGATGCATCTCTTTCTAGGTATAGACCCACACAGGGGGATACTCCCCAAATCAGCGGTTCTTACACCCTGAAATCCGTCTGGCAGGTCCTTCAGGATCGAATATCACGGTTTGCTGCAGCCCACCCCCTGATTTTTGTCACAAGGGTGGCAAAGCGCCAGGGCCGTAAATGACAGAAGTTGATGACAAGATATGACAAGCATCTCAAGCCCCAACTGTAGTTCATGCTAGTCGTTCCCACCTACCACTCCATCTGCACTTTCCTGGCCTTCTTGCACTCCCGGTGTTTGCGCAAGAACTGCAAGCAGCGCGCCACCTCCTCCGCCGTCTTCAGGCGCTTGGCCTGGCGCACGCCCACCGCCAGCTCGCCGCAGTCCAGGATGGTGATGCGCTTGGAGGTCTCGCCGGACTCGCTTCCACACGCCTCCGGCCGCGGTCGAGGTCGCGGTCGCGCCGTGGCCCCGGCCCGGAGGCCTGCGCCTGCGACCCGGTGAGTTGGGGTGCCGCCGACTTCCCGAAGAGAAGGTGAATGTGGGGTTCTCATGAGGAGATCTCCAGGATGGTGAGTTTCTGTGCTGGGTCTCAGGACTGTCAGGGAGGGTTCTTTCCCTAGTCATCACAGGTGGGTCTGTTTTGCCTAGACAGTTAGTCTCTCTCTGCTGCCTGTTAGGTGAAAAAGTATGAGGAAATTATGAGGAATCAGCTAGAACCGCCAGTCACGTTGACGTTGCCTCCTCTACCTACTGGCGGCCTCATCTATAGCTTTGGGAAGGGGATAAGTCGAGATGGATGCTCTAGTACAAGTAGCGTGCAATTATCATACACTTCAAAAAGCGAACTCGCAACATTGGATCACAAAAATTCAGGACACTTTCCGGCTCAAGGACGGCGAAACGCGTGCACGCCATTCCGAAACACGCGAACCCACCGGTGCGCCCACCGATGCGCCTCGATCAGCTTCAAGACCTCCAGGGACTGTGTTTGGCCGAAGGCCACGTTCTTGCCGTCCTCGGGTCGGCGGTCCGGGGGGCTCTTCACAGGGCGTTTCTTCCTTTCTTCCGATCCGAACGGCTTTTCGTGGTTGGTAGGGACTGACATGACACTTGAATAAGACACTAAGTCACTAAGACCAAGAGGTCAAGTGTTACATGAAAATCATGATGCCCGCAACACCCTTCCTCAAACATCTTCAACGCCTCTCCAAACACCGTCAGCTGCCTGTCAGCAGGGCACTCGTTGCATGATCCGGGGTGAGGCCTTGAACCTACTCGCCCCAATTCAGCGTGCAACCAGCGTGCAACCAGCGTGCACCTGAGATCATTACCACCTATAGGACCTTATGAATGATGGTGGTATATCACCAGGTGGATATGCATTGCCACCAGGTTCTTTCTTTCTTTCTTTTTCTCTCTCTCTCTCTCTATGTATAGATATATATATATATATAGGTACATATTACTATACAAAAACGTCACGTTCACAGTTCCCGTGTCTGGATCACCGCTACCGAACACGCTCACTTAAGAGTAACTGTTGTGCAGCGTGCGGAAGCTGCTATAGTTTTCCGCATTTCCATCCGGGTCCCGGAGGGTGTTGTTCAGGAATTCAGGACAGCTACCAGCTTCCATGACCCGCCACTCTGCACATGCCGGGTGCTCCGGTTTAAGAACCAAAGATCCGCCCCGGTCTGTCCGAAAGGGCGCCGAATTCCCCTTGATGTCGCCCGTTCCTCCATCCCAGCCGAAGGATCCAATTGTGGACTGGGCGCGAGGCAGATGAGGAATTGAGATCCATTGCTGTCCTCATGCGAATCTCAGATCTCAAAAGGCCACCCAACCTTGCATTGCAAGATCCTATCTATCAACCTATGAAAATCTATGAACACAAGGCGTCCAAGACCAACCAGACTCAACCATTCTGAAGCAAAGAAATTGTACTACATTGGGCCTATCTCCCGTATGCCTCAGCCTCTTGCTCGCCAAACGGTCCTTGAATTCCGAAACACTGTTTCAAAAGCTGTGCCACACAAGCCAGAAGCCCAGGGGGTAACATACATAATTACCCATGTTTGAGGTTGTTATGTAGTATGTAAGCTTTTCACGTCACTTGTCACTTCGGCAGTTCACTACCGCTGTGACGGTTCACTTCCGCTGTGGTCCGTCGAGAGTCGGGGCCGGAGTTGGCCATGGACAGAATGCCAGCGCAGTCATGCTTCACCTGGCACGGAGACGGGCCGATGGTGTCCTGTTGGTTCAAAAAAGGTGGATCAGTTTGGGTACCATATACCTAGTGGTGGTGCACTTCGGTGCATTAAAAACTCAACCAACCAATAGAAAATGGAAATGGATGTAAAGGTCCGTTTATGTGGTGGACTCCTATTGACTGCCACTGTGGGATGTTCAAAGTGGAACCACATCCCGGGTGACAACTCGTAAGCCCTGTCTCCAGCAATATCTTTGAACCCATCCCAAGCACTTCCAACCAGCGTTTTCCACCTATGCAATGGTCTTAGTCTTCCAACTAGGACCTCCAAACCACCTCAAAACCACCACACGAACAGTCTTTCCCATTGAGCTCTGTGGGCCGAATCTCATCACAGCGGCTGCGTCAAAACAAAGGTGTTTTGCCCAGGGGTTCTTCATACTGCTGAGCCCCCAA